CTCTCTCTCTGCCTCTCTCATGCTCTGTTCCCAAGTAAATAAAAATTTTGAATTAAGGCACTTTTAATTATAACCAACTAGTATCTTCTGCAATATAAAAATGTTTTGTTTATAACACAAAAAACTTTGAAATAGGGATCTTAAAAATATGATTGGGAAAAATAAAATTTGAATCAAAGCATCCAAAGATAAAAAACTTGGAAAAAAACTATTAGAACTAAGAATATACAACTAGACAAGCAAACATGAAAAATGGGAGAAATATTAGAAGACTGGAGGATCCATACATGAGGGCCAGCAGCAGACTGGATGAATAAGAGTTTTACAAGAGATGACACAGGCGAAGGCGAGGATAAAATCTAAAACAATGTCACCTAAGAAAACGTGCCAAGACAGAAGATTTAGTCTACAAATAAAAAATATTGACTGACCTTCCAGAAGAGACCGACTCTCACCATTATGGCATTCAAGACACTCTTAATAAGAAGAGAAGTCTCCATGGGACTGGTGTGGTGGCTTGACTGGATGAACTTCTGCCTGCAGCAGTGGCATCCCATCTGGACACTGGTTTTAGTCTTGGCTGCTCCACTTCCAATCCGTCTCCCTGCTTATCGACTGGGAAAGCAGCAGAGGTTGGCTTAAGTCCTTGTGTCCTTACATCCATCCACATAGGAGACTCAGAAGAAGCTCCTGGCTCCTTGTTTCAGATAGGTTCAGCACCAGCTGTTGTGGCCATCTGGGGAGTGAACCAATGGATGGAGGATCTCTCTCCCTCTCTCCACCTTTCCTTTCTCCCCCCGCCCCGTATCTTTCTCTATATATAAATCTACCTTTCAAATAAAATAAAAGAAAAATGTAAAACAAAAAGAGAAGACTCTAGAACCTTCCAGAGCCTATAGGAGCAGAGAAAAGAACAACTCCAAAGACTGGCAAATACAGTTACATCTTATTCATCAACAGCAATATTAAAACCTTGAAGACCATGGAGAAATCAATGCCCTTAAAGCTTTTCATGAAAATTGTTTTCCACCTAGAATGTTGCATCACAAATATCAATTAAATATGAAGAGCAAAAAAAGATCAGACATGGCAAGAGTTTTTAAAATGGGCTTACTGTGTGCCATCTCTTAGGAAGACACTGAGGATGTATTCACCAAAGCAAGCAAATCCAGAAAGAGGGGAAAAAGGGACTCAGAAGCAGGAGAGGAGAGGCAGGTGAGACGCAGGTCAGGTGCCAGAGGGTGACTCTGACCCAAATCGTTTGTGCGTGCATCCTCAAGAGGGCTTTGTCAGGGTTGTGGGACCGTCTGAGCATCATCAGTGATAACCACACACCATGCTATCAGATGAATATGGCCAAGTTAACTGTGCTGCCTGAGAGAAGCAGGAAGTTGTTCAAGAAAGGAAACCTCATAAGATTCCAGAGATTGCGCTCATGCACACGTCTGTCTTTTCCTGAGTCTCAAATCAGGATGTGTCTTGTGGTCACCCTTGGCCACACCGTATCTTGATGGAGTTGTTGCCACCTGTGCAGACATGGACTTGGATCTAAGTCCTGGCATTCTGACCCAACAGCAGCAGCAGCTAGACATATTGGTGCACAGAACACTTTAACACCTCATGAGGAAGCACAAGGGGTCCTGGTTAATCAGAGAACTTTCTGTGGGCACCTTCTGGTAAGATCTAGAAAGTGTTAGCATCCAGATTTGCAGAATATGGTGAGCAGCTTGGCAGAAAATCATAGATATCGGAGTGGACCTGTCTGTGAGAATAACTGCTTCGGGGCTGGTATTGCGGTGCAGTGGGCAAAGCTGCCACCTACCAAGTCCCTAGCATCCAAACGGGCACTGATCAAGCCTTGGCTGCTCTGCTTCCAATCCAGCTCCCTGTTGACACACCTGAGAGAGCAGCAGAGGATGACCCAAGTGCTTGGACCCCTGCATCCACGTGGGAGACCTGGAAGAAGCTCCAGGCTCCTGGCTTCGGTCTGGCCCATAGTGATCATTAGGAGAGTGAACCAGTGGATGGAAAATCTCTGTTTATCCTCTCTCTGTAATTCTGCCTTTCAGATAAATAAATATTTTTAAAAACAAAACAAAACAAAGAATTACTGGGACCAGCATGGTGGCCTAGCAGCTAAAGTCCTCACCTTGAACACACCAGGATCCCATATGGGTGCTGATTCTAATCCCAGTGGCCCCACTTCCCATCCAGCTCCCTGTTTGTGGTCTGGGAAAACAGTTGAGGACGGTCCAAAGTCTTGGGACCCTGCACCCATGTGGGAGACCTGGAGGAAATTCCTGGCTCCTGGCTTCGGATCAGCACAGCTCTGGCTGTGGCGGTCACTTGAGGAGTGAGTCATCAGACAGAAGATCTTCCTCTTTGTCTCTCTCTTACTCTCTATATATCTGACTTTGCAATAAAAATAAATAAATCTTTAAAAAAAATTCTTTAAGAAAAAAGGCTTTCTCTTTAGGAAACCAGAAAACAAAAAAGCTTTGAAATGGGAAGGCAGTCCAGAGGAGAGCGCAGAAGGGTTAAGGATACTTAATCTTGCTTACATTTTTCTTTTTTTATGCACAAGATTGATACATAATAAAATATATGTCTAAACATGGGCACTTTCAGTAAGTTGACATTGAAAATTTAACGTTTCATTGACAGCAAATTTCCTTTCTTATAGGAACTTGGTGGCGTCTCACATGCAGTGAAGTCTGTGGTTCTAGCTAGTAGCAGTAAGCAATTTTTCCAAATTGACAGCATTGCAAATTTCAATATTGATTTTAATTTAAAATGTGAAAGAATTATAGTAGGAGGATGGAAAGGGGCAAATGCATGCGTGCTTTGGGGTGGGAGAGATTAGAGATGGGTGAGTGGGAAGACTATTCACCTCCACAACAAGAATTCAAAGGATGAAGTCTGATTGATGCATATTTTTGAGAAAGCGATTTAAACACACACATCCACACATTCACACACACACACACACACAGCCTGGTGCAGTTGTTAAGTTAGAGCTTAGGATGTTGGAGTGCCTGATTCCAGTTCCAGCTTCCTGCTAATCCGCACCCGGGGAGGCAGCAGGGAATGAGCTGAGGTCACTGTTAACCCCGCAATAGGGAGGCCTGGATGGAGTTCTGCATTTCCAGTCTTCTGCCTGACTCTGCTTCAGCTGTTGTGGATATTCAAGAAGTGAGCCAGCGGATGGCAGATGGAAAGGCTCTGTCTCCTTGCCTTTCAAATCAAGTGGAACGAAGCTTTCTAACTCTTAAAAAGAGCACATGGAGAACTAGTCAAAAGAACTAAGTTTCCTTGGGTGAAGGGGTTGGAGGGTGGGCGGAGTGGGTTGTTGAGGTTTCTATTAATACACTTTTCATACTACTTTACTTGTAACACTCATCATTACTTTGATTAAAAACAATTTTAAAAATAAATAAACTCAAAAAAGCTCATTCTGTGTTGTTGTCATTATAAATATATGTACTCTTTGGGGGCCATATGGTCTAACGTTTGGTTCAAGAAATCTGTTTGCTGTGAGAGGCTGCAGGGTATGGCAGAAAGAGCTTCTCTGCTGAGTGTCTGGTTTTGCATCTTGGTTTAGTTGCTTACTATCTGTGTGACCTTGGCCAAATTGCTCAGCCTCTTTGGGCTTTAGTTTCCTCTCACTGGCAGTTGAGAGGCTGTCAAGAACGCAGATCTGAGGCTGCTTGCCTACTGCCTGTCTTGCTGCGGAGCTCAGGGTCATGTTAACTACTTTCTGGGGAATACATCTGCCTGCCCCCTGAAGAACAGGGCTGACCCTTCTGACCTGCCCTTGTGCTCAGGGGTACCAAGGCCTCATCCCCACAGTGCCACTGTCCAGAACTTTCAGTGTGCTGCTCAGCATAGCCCCCCAAAAGCTCCCATATTTATGCCCTACTCTCATGCCAGGCTCAGCCTGGGAACCTGATTATGCTCAGTTGTGCGAAGCCTGCCCTTCTGTGGCCCAGCTCCAGGGCTTACTTTGCCTTTCTCTGAGGTCTGGGAGAAACAGGGCCTGGGCTTCAGGCTTGGCCTGCAGGAAGGATGAGCTTAGTCTGGCCCCAGGTCAAATCTGAAGTCAGCCTGCCCTCACCCAGAACAGCCATCCCTTGGCTCGGATCTGTTGCTGTCTGGAAAGCAGAGCAGATTGGCTTGGCTAGAAGCAGCCTTGATCATGGGCAAGCCAGGTGCACTCCCTTTTGCCTGGATGAATGGGATAGCTGCTTGCCCAGGGCTTGCTCTTCCGGGTCAATGGGGCTGTTCATGTTTATACATGTGACCCAGAAATACCAAATGAGTCATCCAAGGCTGCTGACACTGCTGGAATGGGAAGGGTGTCACTGCTTCCTGAGGGCAGAGGATGGCAATAGAACCAGCAAAGGAGGATTGTGAAAGGCACAGGGCAGGGTGGCAAGACCACTCCTAATCATGGGCCTAAGAGAACATGGCACTATCCCCAAAGTCCCCAGACAGCCTGAGTGGCACTTCCAGGGAACAAAAGGGGGTTGCAGACTCATTGGGGATGCAGCAGCAGCTAGGGAGGGGGGCATCTGGGAGGCAAAGGGATGAGTCACATGGGGGAGCTAAAGGGATATGGATCCAAAGCCTGCTCCCCCACCAACCAGCTGCAGTGCTGGGCGTTGTATCAATGGCATGGAGCCTCCGCTTTCCTGTGGGCAAGAGGAGAGGCACCACGGTGCAGGGCTCTCCTGAGGTGATTCCACATCTTGTCCTTGAAATTTGTAAAGCTTGGCCTTTCTCTAAAGCTGCTCTCCTGCCTCTGACTTCCTGGCACATACTAGAGGCCTAGGTCTCTCTCTCCAGCTCAGTGCCTGGGTGGGTCAAAGGCCCGCCGTGCTGATGTGGGGACATTGCTATTCTAGTCTTCACTGCCCCGAGCAGGAAGGGAGGGGAGAGCAGGCAGTCCTAGCAGGTGTCACCCCTGTGGGCCACGTCATGTCTGTGTGCTCCTCCTACAGGCCACAGAGTGGGCCTCCAACGAGGACACCCGCCGCTCCTGCCAAAGCAAAGGCAAGACTGAGGTACGTGGTTGGGACTGGCGAGGCCTGTGGTTGTGGGGACTCATGGCTGAATGTGGACATGTGGTCTCCTGACCCAGGTGACCGGGGTCCCTTGTGTAGGGGCACATGGAGCTGCGCCCCAAACCCAAAAGGAGGGGACATCCAGAGATATAATCTGACCATTGGGGCAGGCTGGATGTGGGCAGATGGGATTGTGCTGGCACGGTGGGCAGGATTTCCCTGGTGCCACCCCGGGGGAGGAGTGTCGGGGGGAGCCTTTGGTCACTCAGCTTCATCCCTTAGGAGGAGTGTCACAACTACGTGCGAGTCCTACTCCTCACCGGTCGGAAGGTGTTCATGTGCGGGACCAATGCCTTCTCTCCTGTATGCACCAGCAGACAGGTGGGCAGCTCAGGATGGGACTGGCAGGTGGGGACACCAAAGGGGCTTCTGTCACCCAGCCCCATACTTTGGCATTGCCAAATCTGGCAAAAATCCTATTGTCAGAAGCAAATGGAGAAAAGGAGCCCCGGATGGGTGTTGTGTGGCAGGTTAATCCACCTGCATTTATTTTGTTCCTGCTGCTCCACTTTCGAGGCAGCTTCCTGCTAAGGCACCTGGGAAGCAGTGGAGAATGGCCCAAGTGCTTGAGTCCCACTTAGGAGACCTGGATGGAGTTCATGACTCCTGGTTTCGGGCTGGTCCAACCCCAGCCATTGCAAGCATTTGCGGAGTGGCCCAGTTAATCGAAGCTCTCTGTGTCTCTCTCTGTTGTTCTGCCTTTCATATAAATAAATAAACCTTTAAAAAAAAAGATGGGTAGTCAGGTGTGAATTTTTGGAGCAAGAACAAATGATATTTTAGCATATGTATATCATACACAGCATCTGAGACAAATTTCTGCTAAAATGTTATTCATTAGTCATCACCAATTCACATTGAATTAGAGTGCCTGGATTTACTGGGCTACTGATCTATCTTCCTTGGGACGGTTCTGACTATGGGTCAGTCTAGTAGACCCACAACTTCCATGAAGGCTGCTCCAACCAAGGGACTATGGGAGGGCAGTGAGGAGAAAAGAAAAGCTCAGAGAGACCAGGGGCCCAGGAGGAGAAAACAGGCAGCTCCAGAGTCTCAGGGAGGTGTCCCCCTTGTCCCCACTGTCCTCAGGTGGGCAACCTCAGCCGGACTCTAGAGAAGATCAACGGGGTGGCCCGCTGCCCCTACGACCCACGTCACAACTCCACGGCCGTCATCTCCTCCCAGGGGGAGCTGTATGCAGCCACAGTCATCGACTTCTCGGGTCGGGACCCTGCCATCTACCGCAGCCTGGGCAGCGGGCCACCACTCCGCACCGCTCAGTACAACTCCAAGTGGCTCAATGGTAAGGAAGCCCTGGCTGTAGCCTGAGTGAGGGGCAAAATTCCCCCTGCTTCTGCCCCTGCCAGTCTACTCTCCCCCCACCCCTTCTCCTTCCTGCCTGATTTCTGAAAGGGTCACCCTTGTTCCCTGAGACAGGACGGAACTCCGGATGGATGAGAGTGAAACATCTGGGAGAAAATAGAGGGTAGTGGGAGTGGGGTATGAGTCTCCCATCCCTTTGGATGGAATCCTCACTTCTCTACGGACTAGCCATGTGCTGGAGAAGGTGTCTGATGTTTCACCTGCAACATGGGCACGGGTTGCTATGAGGACCTAGTGGGTTGATCCAGATGAAACACGTATGCTCAGTAGCACATGTGTAGCAGATGCTGTAGCTGTCCTGAATGCTGCAAGTGGAAAAGGGTTCACTCCAGCTCCCCAGGTCATTGCGCTGGGAAAACCAAAGTCCCTGTGCTCTGACTCCGCCTTCTTCTTTCCTGCTGACCTGACCCACCCCTTGTGCCTCTTCTGTCCCACCCTGAAACCTACCCACGCCCCAAGAGCCAAACTTCGTGGCAGCTTATGACATCGGGCTGTTTGCCTACTTCTTCCTGCGGGAGAACGCAGTGGAGCACGACTGTGGGCGCACGGTATACTCCCGCGTGGCCCGCGTGTGTAAGAACGACGTGGGTGGCCGGTTCCTGCTGGAGGACACGTGGACCACCTTCATGAAGGCGCGGCTCAACTGCTCCCGCCCGGGCGAGGTGCCCTTCTACTATAACGAGCTGCAGAGTGCCTTCCACCTGCCTGAGCAGGACCTCATCTATGGAGTCTTCACCACCAATGTGTGAGTCCCTGCCCCGCCTCCTCCACCATGGCGTCAGCACTGAGTGCTCTGGCCCAGTCCCATCCCAGCCCCGTCCCAGCCCCGTCCCAGCCCTTGTGGCTTTATCCATAGAATGGGATGAGGATGCAGACTGGCTGAGGATGCTGCCTCCTACACTGGGGGGGGGGAAGCTCGGTTGGGTTGTAGGGATGGCAAGTCCCTGGCCAGGTGTGTGCAGAAAAGTGAGAGCATCTACAACTCCAGCTTGCTGGTGGTAGTGAGCATGGGGGTCTGCCTTGAACCAGGGAATGTGGCAGCTCTTGTGGAAACTGTGCAGGGATTCTTGGCAGTCCCTTCCAATTGTGCAACTCCTCGATTTTGCTAAAGCTAACCCTCCCAGTGTTCAGGCAGTCCAGTTGTCACCCTCTGTACTGCAGGGTAAAGCACAGGTGCACATTATAGCCCATTTTACTTCCTTAGTGTGAGGAAGAGCACTTCCCCACAGCCCCCCATGGAAATCAGGGCACCCTCCTTTCACCGTCTCCTTCTGGGAAGCAGGTAACCCACACCAGGGACTGTAATATAGATGAGAACAGGAGCATTTGCTTCCAGGGTGCTGCTCAGAGTTCTTTGTGAGCATCCCAGAAAGCTAGGAGCCATAGAGTGGTGCCTGATGACCTGGACCCCCAGGGAGCAGGCACCGAGTGAGGGCTAGGTCAGTTACAGGAAGGACAGTGTTGGGAGCATCGGCAGAGGTGAGAGTAAGGCAGGAGCAGAGAGGCATGCTGAGCCCCAAGGACAGGCATGCAGCAAGCGTAGCCCACACTGGGTCAGGAGTGGCGGAGAGCTGGCTGGCAGGACTCGGTGTGCCCAGTACTCAAGATGGGCAGTGGCAAGAAGGGGACAGGAGTAGTAGAGGGGAATCAAGAAAACGTGGCAATGCCAGTGTGGATTGAAACTGACACACCGGCTGCCTGCTAGGTGAGTTCTGGTGGGGGTGGGGCATCAGTGAGCAAAAGCAGATGTGGCTCTGGTAAGACAAGAAGAGCAGGACAAAGAGGAAATGGAACATGGACTCACAGCCAAAATGGGCTCATATGCAAAACTGAGAGGGTCTCATGCCCAGTGAATGCACCACTGAGAGCCACTTGTGAACACACAGCAGAGACAGCACCTGCTCAAGTGACCCAAGGGCATATTGATCAGAAAGTAGCTGCGCAATGGGCTGGCTGCTGGGTGTGGCTTGGGAGAGTATGGACTGAGGTTGGATGCTTCCAGTGGTTGGGAAGAGCCTGAGTGAGGCAGGGCTGGGCTGGGCTGACCCAGCTGAATGGGAACCCTAGGAATTTGAATGGGGGCACTGCTTTTACGCAGGTGGGAGGCCAAGATGGTTTTTGTCCATGCTGTGCTCCATCAGCCCCCATGCTTAAGGAGCCTGCATTCTAGAGAGGGAGATGGATATTAAACTGCCCATTTTAATAGTGATAAATGCCGCAAAGGGAAGGGCAGTGGGTGGGAACATTTATGGCGATATGGAGGGGTAGTGATCAGGGACGATTTTCTGTAGGAAGTGACATCTACAAAATGAGGAGGGATTAACTCGGGGCAGAAAAAGGCTACTACAAGGAGACAACAGCTCTTTGGGAGGGAAGAAGTGTTTTAGGACCTGATGGGGGAGTGGTGTGACCAGAGCTCTGAGGGTGAGGAGGGTGAGGAGAGAGGAGGCTGAAGTGGTGAGGCTAGAGGCATCAGGTCTCAAAGAGCCTTGTAGACTGCTTTCTGGGCTTTGATCTTCATCTGGGAGCAAGGAGAAGTTGTTCAAGGGTTTGAAGCAGGCTGGATATGCCTTGGGCCATGCTCACTCTGGCTACTGCGTGGAGAAGGGACAAGAGACCACGGGGGTGATAATGTCCCTTCCAGAGGGAGTGGAGGAGACAGGTGTGCGACAGGGCAGGTGCTGAGAGCAGGCAGAAGTGGAGAGAAGTGGGCACACTTGGGAGGGGGATGGTATGTCGCAGCCAGAACTGGGTGTTGTGTTGTCTCTGTGAGGCTGGGGTTGCCAGGGGGCTGGACGGTCTTAGAGGTTCCCTGGCTTAGGCCAGAGCTGTGGTTTGGCAACCAGTCTTTCAGTAAATTAAACCTAAGAATGGAATAGAAGGAAAATATCCGATTGTAGCACATTGGTAAATATCAGTTCCTCAAACTTCAGTACAGGTGCATGGTGCTGAGCTGTGATGTGAACGGGATTTTTTTCCCCCTGGGGCAGGGCAGGAGGAGCTGGTGTGCATGAATTGTGATGCTTAGAAACCACCGGGTGCTTTTCTACCCCCGCCTCCCATACTAGCTGAGAGAGGGGGGTGAGAAGGGGCCTGGAATATCACCCCTTGTTCTTGTGTCAGTGGGTTTCTCAGGGCAGGGGTGGGGGGGTAAGAGATTTGCAGACTGTGAGGCCCACCTCTCCTCTATGATGCACCAGGCCTCAGGGTGAGCCCAGGGGCTTAATAAGCCTTGCAGATTGGACGTGACCACTGGGGAATTTCAGAGGCTAAGGTTGGGAGTAGGGGGTCCCCACCATCTCTTGCCTTTCAGAAACAGCATTGCCGCCTCTGCTGTCTGCGCCTTCAACCTCAGTGCCATCTCCCAGGCTTTCAACGGCCCCTTTCGCTACCAGGAGAACCCTAGGGCTGCATGGCTCCCCATCGCCAACCCCCTGCCCAATTTCCAGGTATCACCTCTCCCTTCATGGTCTTGGCTTCTCCCCAGTTGAGCCCACTACAAGGCAGTTCCCAGCTGCTGCTTAGCACAGACTTGTCCCTAAGGGCCCTCCCCCATCTCTGGGGTCTGCCATGGTTCCCTCATAGCATGGTAACAACCTGTAGGGCCCTGAGCAAGAAGGCAAGAGTGGGCAGGAGGCAGAGCAGGGGCACATAACTTGGAGTCATTGCAAACCTCCTGGGAGACAGGGACGTGGGACCTCCATATCCATATGGGACAAAGAGCCAAGGCAGTGCTGAACAGCCTCATGCATTGTGTCCAGCAGGTGTCCAGTGTGTCCAGCAGGTGAGCATTGCCCCTGCTTGGATAGAGGAGACTGCTGGTGGATGACTTTCCATCCAGATCCCCCAGCAGGCACTGGGACAGAGCTGGGCAAGAACTCAGGCTGTGTGGACCTAAACAGCCACGCTTGTGTCTATACCACTTGGGACAAAGTCCTCAGCCCCGTTACACCAAGGAATATAGATAATACTCCATAGATGTGTGCAAAGGCTGATTGCCCAGAATACAGGAGAAGTGGCTGCCCTGCTCCCCCCTCTCCACCTTCAGTGGAGTCATTGGGAGAGCTCTGAGCTGATAAAGACCAGGGAAGGGGAAGGCAGGCCTTGACCACACATACAGAGGGAGAATTAAACCACAGCATGGCATTATGGACATAGATGAACGTATTCATGGGATTGGTTACAGATTATCAGTCCCCTCTGCTCTCCCAACCCCTGAAAGGCCCCTCTGCCCTCATCCCCATTTCCTCTGGTTACCCCAGGAAGGGTGCAGGGGTTATCTCGCAGGTAGATATGCCTACAGGTCAGGGATTAGAGGATGTTAGCCTGCGGCCACGGACCCTAACACCAAGCCTGGGTGCACTTGATTCGGCTCCCCACGGCAGTGCGGCACCCTGCCCGAGACTGGCCCCAACGAGAACCTGACGGAGCGCAGCCTGCAGGACGCACAGCGCCTGTTCCTGATGAGCGAGGCAGTGCAGCCGGTTACGCCAGAGCCCTGCGTCACCCAGGACAGCGTGCGCTTCTCACACCTCGTGGTGGACTTGGTGCAGGCCAAGGATACGCTCTACCACGTGCTCTACATTGGCACCGGTAAGCCGGCCTGCCCCCCACCCCCTGACCTGGGCTGCTGTGAAGAGGGGCCTTCAAGATCACCTGCATCTGCCCCTCACCGCATCCTTTTCCCTCCAGAGTCGGGCACCATCCTGAAGGCGCTGTCCACAGCGAGCCGCAGCCTCCGTGGCTGCTACCTGGAGGAGCTCCATGTGCTGCCACCGGGGCGCCGGGAGCCCCTGCGCAGCCTGCGCATCCTGCACAGCGCGCGCGCGCTCTTCGTGGGGCTGAGCGAGGGCGTGCTGCGCGTGCCGTTGGAAAGGTGCTCCGCCTACCGCAGCCAGGGGTAAGGCAGCCACACCCCGGGCAATTGTGGGGCTGGGATTCGGGACTGGTCCCAAGGTCTCTGAACCTTGGCTTGTGCCTCCTATAAGCTGGCCCACAGGATCCCACGGGGGAGGGGAGGGACTCAATGGGGGCAGGCTGCATACACAAGCTTCTCTGTGTGGAGAAAGTGTGCGCTTAGCCAGTTGTGAGTGCTGCAGCACCAAGCGCCTGAAGCTCCAAGAGCACTTTATCTGCAATTCTTGCCCGGAGTTGCGAGTTCAAGGGGAGCTAGTGCTTGGAGTCCTCTACCAGCATTTGCTGCTCCAGCTTCGTCCCTGTTAAGCAGCAGAGAAGGCTGGAGTGCAGGCAAAACACCATTTGGGGAAGCTGTGCTGTGGCGTTACACATTTTCCCACAGTGGGACACCGGGGTGAAAGGGGAAAGCCAAGGTCAGGCCAAAGCCTGCTGGCCAGGCTGCATCTGCTGCCACCCAGCCTGCATCTCTTCCTCGTTTGCTGGCATAGTCACAGCCATGCGAGCTTTCATGACCTTTGCACAGAGCCTTCCCCGCTGTGCCATCTGTCAAGAGCTGGGGGACAAATGGCACTCCTGCTGCCAAGAGCTGTTGCTCAGCCACTGAGGGGAGGGCTGGCAGCCGGGTAGAGGGGACCAGGCAAGCTCCTCATTAGCTCCAACATGCAACTCCATCAGCAAAACAGCACCGTTTTACAGTGCCCAGCAATTTCAGGCCACTTTTCAGGGTGTGAGAGGAGCTTGGTAAGATGAACAGGCCTGGAATGTCCCTTGAAGTTTCCAGATGTCTGCTGGGGGATTGGAGGCTGGCTGATATCTGACACTGGGTGTGACAGGTGGAGTTGGATCCACTTGGCCTATCTTAGCTGTCCTCAACCGAGCAGGTGGCTTTGTGAGCACCTGCTCTGTCTTCCAGGAGATGGGGGTGGGGAACTTGTGTGCAGCAAATGGTGTGAGCTTTTGTCAGCAGAGGCCTCACAGTGCTCATGAAGCACCAGGTTCCGTGAGTCAGCAGTGGCAGCCAGGGTCTTCATTCCTGTTTTATCTTCCCGAGCACATTCCAGAGCTTTCCAGCCTCCTGAGCTGTCTGGAATCTCATCATTCATGACACAGATCAGGGGGCAGTGCTGGGCAGTGAATCACCAGCTAACGGTTGACAGCATTGCCCCCACTTCTTATGTTTTTGAACTCTGTTATTATTCAAATTTCCACAAATGTCTTGTTCTCTAAGAGGCTTTTAATCTCTTGAAGGCAAAACCTGATGTCTCAGGGATTTTTTTATGCCACCCCAGGGAGCCCTGCTCAGCACAGGATACCTCTGCAGACAGCGGCTTAACTGGCTACACAGCGGCTTAACTGGCTATGCCATGATGCCACTCCTATTTATTTTGTAAGTCAGAGTTTCAGAGAGAGAGAAAGAGATTCCATCCACTGGTTCACTCCCCAGTGATCCCACTGGCTAGGGCTGGGTCAGGCTGAAGTGAGACAGGAGCATTTTGATGCCTGTCATGGAGACCCTGCCAAGAAACTGTACATAGAACTTTTTAAAAAAAGTATTAAGTTACCTCCAGGTTAATAGAATGAGCGAGCAAGTATATGCATCCACCAACCCTAAGGCTCCAGGGTTCAGCAAGCTAGCTGTCCATGTACGAATATTAGCATTTGCACTGGGGAGGGGTACCAAAACTGGTAGGAGGGTGAGGGTGGGTAAACATGCCACCCACTCTGCTCAGGTTCAAAGGGCTTGTCTCCAACCAGCGTCTTTCCTTTTTTGTTATTGTCTTTAAAGATTTATTTAATTGAAAGACATAATGTCAGAGAGGAAAGAGAGACTTTCCAACCTCTGGTTCATTCCCCAAATAGGCACACAATAGCCAGAACTGAAGCCAGGAGCCAGGAAGTCCATCTGGATCCTCCCATGTGGGTGACAGGAGCCAGCACTTGGGGCATTTTCTGCTGTTTTCCTGGGCCATTATCTGAGAGCTGGATCTGAAGTACAGCAGCTGAAGCAGGAACCAGCATTCTGATATAAGACCCTGTGTCATAGGTGATGGCTTAACCCTCTGTGGCAGAACTCCCCCTCCTCCCACCCCCGCAGCCATATCGTTTCACTTAAGTGCACCGGAGTCCCACAGGCACCACCAGGACCCTGGCCTGGCTAGGAACCAGGGTTCATCAAAAAGGAGCCGAGGAAATGGACTGCTGTAGGCAGGAACCGCCCATCTGCTCCTTCTCACTTGCCTTTCGCCCTGGCCATGGGAGCTCTTCTCCTCCCCTGCCTGTCCCATAAGCGCCTAAGTTCAGACAGCCTTTTTCTCTGAGCTCCCTTTGCAGCTGAAGACCACAGGTTGCCTGGGAACCTGTGCAGCCTTAAGCAACATTCCCAAACTCCACTTCCCCCCACCCCCTGCCGCCCTTTCTACCTTGGACAGCTCCTATCCTGAGACTTGTACATTTGTCTCTGTCCCAGCCTATGGAATGAACCCCATTCCCTTTTGTAATGCATATTTGCGACAGAGCAGTTAAAAAAAATAAAAAGACATGGTGATATGTTATTGGTCTGATGGCTGCTTAAGAATTCTAAACTGTCATCCATTTGTATAGTCAGAGATACGTTTTCTCTTCTGTTTGCAGCTTTCATTTACTTAAGAGTGTGGTTTCTGTGTAAGCTTTAATGTGACTTTTAGCCATGAGTGGTGGAGCTGGAGTCTCAGGGCTTGGGGAGGGTCCCCTTCAGCTTTCATTTGAAGACAGGTCAGGCACTGGCTTTGGGGAGATCTCCAAGGGCCCCTCTGCCCAAATACTCTGGTGATACACACTTGTTTTTGGTGGGAATAAGCTTATGTGTTACTACTATTAGTGACTAACCATGGCAAACTATTTTCTTGCTTATAAAGTGTCCCATCAGCTGCTTCTACACCCTGGGTTGGCTTCCTTGCTGAGGGCAGGGAGAAATAAACTCAGGAGTGTGTTTTCCTGTGTTCCAATTGGTTGGATTTGTTAGTGGTTATCTTTTTTTTAAAGATTTATTTTTATTATTTTTTATTGGAAAGGCGGATATACAGAGAGGAGAGACAGAGAGGAAGATCTTCCATCCGATGATTCACTCCCCAAGTGAGCCGCAACGGGCCGATACTATGCCGATCCGAAGCCAGGAGCCTCTTCCGGGTCTCCCACGCGGGTGCAGGGTCCCAAAGCTTTGGGCCGTCCTCAACTGCTTTCCCAGGCCACAGGCAGGGAGCTGGAAGGGAAGCGGGGCCGCCGGGATTAGAACCGGCGCCCATATGGGATCCCGGGCGTGCAAGGCGAGGACTTAACCACTTGCGCCACCGCGCCGGGCCCGTTAGTGGTTATCTTTACCCAGTGTTGGCAAGGAGTTGAGGCTGGAAGCCACAGGGTATGGCACTGTTTTGCCCAAATATGTGGTCTCAGGATGTCCAGTGTGGTGGGTTCTGTCCATGAAAGTACCTCATCTCAGACCATGATCCCAGGTGAGACCATGGACAGTTCACAAATGGTCTGAGGTGAACAAAGTAGAAATAGATTTGCCAGCAGCATCTGACTGTTCTGGATCCCCAGGTGTCACCTCACCTATGCAAGGTCACAGGTCGGCCAGAGCAGGGGGCAGAGTTCTCTTCTCCCACTTCCTCCACCCTTTAGAACACTTTTCTTGTGAAGTCTCTCCTTGGTCCTTGCAGCCTGCTATGCCACTGTAGAGCTCTGTGAAAAATAGAGAATTCATTGGACAGGTGATGCTCCTTAAAGCTTCCAGAGGAAAGAAAAGGTCTCAGTTGGAGAAATCAGCAGTTGCACCCTCTCGTCTCTCTTGTGTGGCATCTTAACCCTGGGCATCCTTGCTCTTGAGCCACTAGGAAAATCTCTGAAAAGGCACATGATGATTATGTGACTCCTCCCCTAGTCACCCCCTCCTTCCTGGCAGTCTGACACCCTCTTTTCTGTTTTCTCACCTCCAACTTCTGAGTCCCTGCTCATGTGCTATTACCAGACCTTTTTCAGCAGATTTGGTCAGAAGTGAATAGAAATGGTGTTAGCAGGTGGGAGGGATTCAAGTCTGCCCTGGCAGTGGCAGTGAGCTCTGTGCGTGTGTGGGGAGCCCTTCTCTAGCTCCCTTCAGTTAGCCTTCCAGTTAGCCATAGACAGCAGATCATGATGCCACAGTTGCCATAGCCTCTTTCTGCTCCTTGAAGTCCTAGTAGACGACATTGAGGTTTTTGTTGTTGTTCAACATGCAATCCATACTATACATAAATCAGAAGGAGAAAAGAGAGGACCCCCGCCTCCCAAACATGAGCAGAGGAAGCACTGGGGCATACCTGCATGTGTACCTTTTTACTAGGTGACACAGAGAGACTAGCCCGGAGGCAGGGTTACCCAGGACACCTGACACAGAGTAGGAGTTCAGTGTCCTTGGTTGTTATCATAGAGGGTCTACCAGATGGACAGAGCTATCCAGGGGGTAGTGTTCAGGTGCATGCTTAAGATGTAGATGAGACTGGGGAAACAGCAGGCATGAGTCTGAGTGCTTCTGTCCGGCAGGGCATGCCTGGGAGCACGAGACCCATACTGCGGCTGGGACGGCAAGCAGCAACGCTGCAGCACGCTAGAGGACAGTGCCAACATGAGCCTGTGGACCCAGAACATCACAGCGTGCCCAGTGAGAACTCCTTCACACCCTCATCTCCAAGCCTTATGCCCCTCCCATCTCTGCCTCAGGCTGGGACTTCCCATCTGTATCCCCAAATTCCCCTAGGGGTTCACACCCTCCCTGCTCCTTCCCACTCCCTATGTGTATCTACAGGTGCGGAATATGACACGGGACGGAGGCTTTGGCCCGTGGTCACCATGGCAACCATGCGAGCACTTAGATGGGGACAGCTCAGGCTCGTGCTTGTGTCGGGCCCGATCCTGTGACTCCCCACAGCCTCGTTGTGGGGGCCTCAGCTGCCTGGGGCCAGCCATCCACGTTGCCAACTGTTCCAGGTATGTGCAGGGACAGCACTTGCACAGTGTCTGCCTCGGACCAGGTGGGGCGACCTGGAGAAAGGAGGCGTCACCACCTCCTTTTTGCAGGTGTTTGCAGCAGGGGATGGGGAGTCACTCCAGGCAGGGCAGCCAGGAACTGCAAACGTGGCTGATGTGCTTGGCTAGAAGCATAAGCCTGGTGGGGGAGGGGTGTCCCCATGCTGGGTGCTCTGGATGCAAAGAAGGCAGGCATAACAGTCACTGCCAGATAAGGGATGGCCTCACTGTCCCAACGTGAAGGACAGCATAGATGCAGTGGTGAGACAGATTCTGTGCCCATCCTGGACTGCCCATCTGGAGATGTGACCTTGGCCAAGCCATCTAATCCATCTGAGTCTCTCTGCGGGCCCTGGGCCCCACTGGAGAAAGGCTAGGAGATGTGAAGAGGATACCACGTGTGGCCAGTTTACACTCTGCCTGGTGCTGGGGCTGCCTTCAGATTGCTACAGTATCAACTCACAAGTAATCCTGGGTGGTCTTAAAATGTCTATCCTATATATGTTTATTGGCTCCACTCTCGCAGCCGCTTCATGCGGCAGGTGCTCAAGGAAAAGGAAGGTGTCTGTAGCTTGTCCAGGGTTAAACTGCTCAGAAAGTAGGAGAGCCTGGATTTGAAAATTGATGTCGAAGTAGACAAGAGGGAGCAGGTTCTGAGGTTGTACGAAGGTGTGTGCAGGGGTGGGGAGGGTGGTGGGAGAGGGGTGGGAGGGAGGCCTGGGTATAAGGATGCAGCTTGCAAAGGCAACTACAGTTTGTCTTTATGGTCCTTAACTGGGAGGGCTGCCCGTGGAAGGAGGCTTTCCTTTAATGTTTGAGGAGGAACACAGTGAATGAAGGCCTGGATGAACTGAGTAGGCCTCAGGGGAGCTGATGTTTTGTGTCACTGCTGCAAGCCCTGACCTGTCCTGACAACCCCGTCAAATCCTTCCCAGACTAGCTGTAAACAGCTGGGACTCAAGCGCCAACCCGGCTCTGTCCCCTTGCTTCCCACCAGGAATGGAGCGTGGACGCCATGGGCATCCTGGGCACAGTGCAGTACGTCCTGTGGCATCGGCTTCCAGGTCCGCCAGCGAAGCTGCAGCAACCCTGCCCCTCGCCATGGGGGCCGCATCTGCGTGGGCAAGAGCCGTGAGGAGCGGTGAGCAGAGCGGGCATCCTGTGGACACACCTGCCTTGAGACCTCTGAGCCCACCAGAGGCTCCAGTCTCCCCTGGGGAAGGTGGCTGCACCTCGCTGTTCTCCCCAGACTCCGCGTGTCCAGGTGACGCCTGCTTCCCGTCCCCTCGCAGGTTCTGTAATGAAAACACACCCTGCCCGGTGCCCATCTTCTGGGCCTCGTGGGGTTCCTGGAGCAAGTGCAGCAGTGACTGCGGTGGTGGCGTGCAGTCCCGGAGGCGGACCTGCGAGAATGGCAACACCTGCCTGGGCTGCGGCGTGGTGAGCTCTCCTGGCTGGGGAAAGGCGCATGCAGGCGCAAGCCAGCCTAAGACCTGGGGACTTGGGGACGCGGTGGCTCTGAGACTCGCCCACTGTCGCCCCCCGGCAGGAGTTCAAGACCTGCAACCCCGACAGCTGCCCCGAGGTGCGGCGCAATACGCCCTGGACACCGTGGCTGCCCGTGAACGTGACGCAGGGTGGGGCGCGGCAGGAGCAGCGCTTCCGCTTCACCTGTCGCGCGCCCCTGGCCGACCCGCACGGCCTGCAGTTCGGCAAGAGGAGGATGGAGACTCGGACCTGCCCCGCTGACGGCTCCGGAGCCTGCGACACCGACGGTATGGTACAACGGATAACGGCGGGGGTGGGGAGTTGGGGTAAGCGAATCGTGCTAGGGAGGGCACCGGGGCCGCGCTGGAGCCCACCTCGCTGAGGCCCCGGGTGCCTTCCCCAGCGCTGGTGGAGGACCTCTTGCGCAGTGGGAATGCCGCCCCGCACGCAGTGAGCGGGGGCTGGGCGTCCTGGGGCCCGTGGTCGTCCTGCTCCCGGGACTGTGAGCTGGGCTTCCGCGTCCGCAAAAGAACCTGCACCAATCCGGAGCCCCGCAATGGGGGCCTGCTGTGTGTGGGAGACGCAGCCGAGTACCAGGACTGCAACCCGCAGGCTTGCCCAGGTAACCCTGCCGGCACCCAGGGAGTCTCTGACCGTGGGAAAACCTTGCGCCCAGGGGACCCTGTGCCCTCCCTCCCCCCGGGGATGGGTGGGAAGGGGCGCCATCTGCCCATGCAAAAGTCCCCAGGACAGTTTTTCCCTCGACTCTGGGCACAGTTGGCCTTTCCTCATGCCTTGTGTCTCTTCTCCCACATCATGGTGGAATGGGTATGTCTGTCTGTCTCTACCAGCACACACACACACACACACACACACACACACGGAATGGATATGTCTGTCTTTCTCTACACACACAGAAATGGGTATGTCCGTGTCTACACACACACACACACACACACACACACACACACACACACACACACACACACACACACTGCGTTTCCCTGTCAGCCCAGTTTCCTACAGGATGAAAGTGGGGTGGCTGAAGGTTGAGGTCAGTCCCTGCCAGTGTGTCCCCAGTGGCCTGACTTGGGATGGCACTGGCTCCTCTTGGACTCTGTGCTCCATCCCCTTGCTTCAGTTCAGGGAGCCTGGTCCTGTTGGACCCCATGGTCCCCGTGCTCAGCCTCCTGTGGCGGGGGCCACTACCAGCGCACGCGGTCCTGCACCAGCCCCGCGCCCTCCCCCGGCGAGGACACCTGCCTTGGGCTGCACACGGAGGAGGCGCTGTGTGCCACCCAGGCCTGCCCAGGTACTGCGAGCTTCCAGCCCTCCCCGTCTGCCCGCTCTCCCCAGGGTAAAGGGGCGGGTAGGGGTGGGGGCCTCAGATCCTCACCGAGGAGGACCCCACCCACTTCCCACAGAAGGCTGGTCACCATGGTCTGAGTGGGGCACATGCACGGAGGAAGGAGCCCAGAGCCGCAGCCGGCACTGTGAGGAGCTGGTCCCAGGGCCAAGTGCCTGTGCTGGGAACAGCAGCCAGAGCCGCCCCTGCTCCTATAGCGAGATTCCTGGTAGGCCAGCACCTGCACATCAGCACCAGCCCCCTTCGGTAGCATGTATCCTGGGTGGGGTGTGGGGGGTGCAGGATGAAACCTCTTGGCAGTGGGGTGGGGGTGGGGATAGGGTGGGAGGAGGTTGTGCAGCCTGGAACCACCAAGAGAAAAACCCATCTCCTCGCCTGGGTGCATGCACTTGGGGTTCTGGCACTTCCCATTCAAGAGGGGTCAGCCAGGAGTAAGTCTAGGGGACAGAGGAGATTAAAGGCCCCCAGGTGACATCCTGTGGCTAGGTATTGGCCCTGGGCTCCTCCGAGCAGTGCATGCAGCTCAGGAAAGTCATGTCTCCCCTCCTCTCCTCTTCCCTCTGCCCCTTACCCCCTCTCCACTTGTCTTCCTGCAGTAATCCTGCCTGCCTCCAGCATGGAGGAGGCCACTGGCTGTGAAGGTAAGAGGAGCCAGTACCACCCCCCAGGCACTGGCATTCTGCCCTTCATTGTGCTGCATAGCCTAGAGTCTTCCCCTCTCCCAGCCCAGACAGCCAGCTCTTGCTGGGAGTTCACAGTTCTGAGGCTTCACAGGCAGGGGATTCTGGGGGATTCTGGGGAATTCTGCCCTTGCCCACAACTAGAAGCCATCAACCCTCTGCCCCAGGGACGAAACCTCTAACTCCAGACCCTCTGACTCAAACCCCAGGGTGTTATGTGGGAGAGGTCCCTGTGGCAGGCTACCCAACCTCTGCTGCTCTCAAAACCCTTTTCCTTGATGTCCCAGAGGTTCCTGTTGCTGTTTCTGTTCCCCAGAGAGGCGGCTAGGAGTCCCTCTATTCCTTTTGTCTCACTGTCCATCATCTCTCCTCCCCACCAGGGTTCAACCTCATCCACCTGGTGGCCACTGGTGTCTCTTGCTTCCTGGGCTCGGGGCTCTTGACCTTGGCGGTGTACCTGTCCTGCCAGCACTGCCAACGCCAGTCCCAAGAATCCACACTCGTCCATCCCGCCACCCCCAACCACCTGCACTACAAGGGTGGGGGCACCCCTAAAAACGAGAAGTATACACCCATGGAGTTCAAGGTGAGGAAGCAGGGGGAACAGGGTGAAGCAATTACTGGCTTTGGTGCTAAGCCAGGTATAACTGGACAGGGCGCTTGGTGTGATCCTTCCTGCTGTCCTTGCCCTGCTTGTCCCCTTTCTCCTCACCCTGCCTCTCTGTCCCTTCCTCCTCACACAGACCTTGAACAAGAATAACTTGATTCCTGATGACAGAGCCAGCTTCTACCCACTGCAACAGACCAATGTGTACACAACTACCTACTACCCGAGCCCACTGAACAAACACAGCTTCCGACCTGAGACCTCACCTGGACAACGGTGCTTCCCCAATAGCTGATACGCTGCCCTGGGACCTTGGGCTCCTTGCCTTTGTAAGGCACAGAGAAGGTGCAGGTGGGACCATGGAGCCAGTTTGCTTTGCTCTGTGTGTACCAGGCCAGGGACTTGCTACCTTGGCTGTGGGGTTCCCACTTGACTACAGAGAGCTCTGGCTGGCAGTGACCATGGGCGAGAGGACTGGCTTCAGGCTGGCACATGGCTGTGGTTCCAGTACAGCCCCACTGTCTCATGGCCTCCCTGCGACCCACGGTCATTTTGACCCTCCCCTGCCGTGTCTGGGCTGCAGACCTACTGGCATGTGAGGAACTGGAGGATGGAGATGGCCACAGGGCAGTCTGTTGGGTTTGGGTTGGAAATGACTCATTGCGGTCATCAGGAACTTGAAAGGCCTGGTTATCTACATTCTGATCAGCCCTGTAAGGAACTAATCAAATGGCCCCAGTAGATCTTGAATCTCTTCCCTACAACTGGGCCGTTGTGGTGCTGCTGCCATGGTGTGACCTAGGGGACCAAAACTGCTCCAGGTTGTCCATCTCTGTCTAGCAATCCATTCTTTCCCTGGTCAGAGGCAGTGAGGACTGGGAACTGGAATGTGGAGCTTTGCTGAGAAGCCCTTTTCATCTGGGCTGGCCTTGCCCCCTCTGGATCCACAAGAAATGGCCAAGAAGAAAGGAAGGCTCAAGGCCAGTAGAGGCAGAAGTGCTGCTTCTGTGTGTGCCTGGAGACTCCCTTCTAGCGGCTGCTCACCAGAGTGGAAGCTAAGACATGCTTGGGAGTCTCTGCTGGCCCCTAACCTATTCAGGAACGTGTGCACATGCGCACACACACGTACATACACATGCAATCACCATCTGTTACAGCAACAGAAAATGGTGTTGGTTTCTGGTGTTGTTAATTAAAGATGAAATCCAGCCTCCAAATGTAACTTTGCCTTTGTGGCTGGGGTAGGTGGGATGGGGAGTGGTTGGTGGGGTGGGACAGCTTCTCTTGGCATGGCGTGGTCAGTCAGAGCAATGCCGTAAAGTAACAGGTGGTTTTTTTTTTAAGGTGGAAGAAATTACCCAGGTAGGGGTAGACTCTGATATGGGATTCCTTTCCATTTATGGGTGCATGCACACGCACACACATATTGTTCTAAACTATGTGGAAGAGACTGGAGGTAAGCATCCTCACGTGTCCCAAATGGGGACACAGGAACACTAGGGCTGCACAGCTGGACACTTCTACCCAGCCTCTTGGCAGCTCCTCCAGGCAACAGGTGCAAGGTGGGAATGTGAATCCAGCAATGCAGGTTTAATGAGTATTATTTACTGAGGTAGCTTCATTGCTGGGCAATATGGACAGATGAGAAAGCCTGTGAGGTATGTGTGTGGGTAGAGGGAGGGAGTGTAGGCAGTTTCTACTGAATTAAATAAAAACACCCTTACAGCTTCAGCCCACCAGAATCAACGCTTCCATTGGGTGAGGTTGATGGACACACTCCATTTAGTGAACAATTTTCCAGCTTACTTTGCTGGATCACTTGTCACTGGAGTGCTGGTGGAATCTGACTGTAGGTTGAGGTATAGGCTTGCAAACTGAGGGTGAGAGCTGAATGTTTACAGCTTGAAGGCATCTGGAAGGAAGGAACAGAGCCTTCCTGGGCTCCTTCCTGCTGAGCCAGGGCACCTGAGACACGCTCAGGCCTGGGTGGAGCCCAGCAGAGAGTTCAGGGAATGGGTGTGTGGGCAGTGAGGAGGTTCCCAACTGGCCGCTGTGAGCCCTCTGAGTCCAGAAGTTGCAGGGCCCACGCAACAGTTTAGATGCTGGACTCACGGATTTCCTTGAACATCTGTAGTAGATCCCAGGAAGTTCAAGAATATTCTAGGGCCCGGGGTGTCTGCCTCAAAAGGGCTGCTCACGGCCCACATCCAGCAGAAGTCTTGGATAGGGGTGGAGGAAGTGGTCATGGCTGGAATGGTGTCAGCAGATGGGCATCACTGTGGATGCTGCAGTCACACACACACACACACACACACACACACACACACACACACACACACTGAATACTCTAGGCTGAAACATGGGGCTGTAGTGGCATGGCACTTCAGGTACACAAGGAGGTCTACATGGCAGGTGTATGAGCTGGTGTGGTTGGCCAAGCCTGTGCAGCAGCTAGCCCAGGAACCGCAACATTCTCTGGGCAAGATGGAGAACCCCAGACTGCTCCCTGACAAACAGGGTGTGGCTCACTCTGACTGGCATTGACTGTGATGTCAGCGGCGGAAGCTTGCCTGGGCCAAACTGGCTCTGCAGGGAATGAGGAGATGGAGCAGTGGGAGCACCAGGGCTTCTAAGGGCTCTGCACTGGTTACACAACTTTGTGTACATTTTTAAAAATCAAAAGCATTCATGTTTGTTACATAAAATCCAGAGTTTACCAGAGCTATATGAATAGTCACAATGAAAACTATCTCAAAAATCACCTTAAGCAGCTAGAAATCAGAAAAGAAATTTTGGCAGTATGCTCAGTTAAATTAAGATGTATCCCAAATCCTGACACAACTTCAGGATCCCCTGGCCTGAAGATACCCGAATTCAGAACCCATGTCTATGACATAAAGTGGCCTGCTGTGTGTGTAGAATCTATGCACAGCCTCCTGTCATCTCTAGATTACTTCAACCTAACACAAAGTCAGTGCTGAATAAAGAGTTGAGATGTGGTATTGTAACTCTGGTTGGTTGAGTCTGGAAGCAGCAGCTATGGGAGCTACGGGAGGACTGACTGCACATGCTGACAGAAAGCAAATGGAGCAGCAGCAGTTGACTGGTGAGGGGTGTATGGTTGCAAACGACATCCTCAAGTGATTTCAGAAAGAAGTAGCAATTGGAGGAACGGGGCATGTTGAATACAGGGCCTGGGCAGAGAAGGCTTGGTTGGGATCTGTGCGAGCTGCTTCCAGACCTCTGGATCATCTGCATTACTGCCTGGTCATCACTCCTTCATCTCAGATGAAGTTTGCTCCCTCGAGGGGACTAAGGGATGAAACTAGTGTATTTCCCAGCTAAGTCCAAGCCTGGCATCCAGACTGCTTCTCTCTTCCAGGTGGGAAATGGAGGGTGAGTCAAAAAAAACGTTTGGGAAGAGACAAGACAACCCTACAGAGTCTGCAATCACCCATACAACAGTCCCACACACAGCACATGACACTGATTTACAAGTCAGCGTGTGCACGCAGAGTTCACAATTGAATTCTCATGCATCACACTAGATGTGACTAGATAAATAAGGATGGTGGATGTCTGAGAAAAAGCTCCAACATGAGAGGCTGAAACAGAATTCAACGAAAGCAGAGATGGTATGGAGGAATTGAATATAGCACACTTTAGAAATAAGACTCTGCATCTTCGTAGTAAGAACAGTTTATTTTAATAGCAAACAAAAGCTCACAGAAATTTAAAACTATGACAACAGAAAAAAATTAGTAAAGCTGTTAAAAGATAAAGGGATTTCCCAGAAAGTTGAACAAGAGAAAGCAATGGAACATAGGAGGAAAATGGAAATAATAGAAGCTTAGTCTAATAAATCTAATAGCACATGTGTAAACTCTAAAGAGAACATTGTCAAAAGAATACTTAAAAAAATTCCCCAGAACCAAAGGATGGGGTCTCCATGGATAAGGACCAGTCGGGAATGAAAAAGATCTCCTGTGGGGCATGTTCGTAAACATAGCCTTGCAAAGCTCTGAGATTGAGGAGACCATTCGCACAACAGACAGATGAGAATGGAAATGTGTGGTCTCTGAAAATGCATACCTACAAAATTTGAAAAGTATATAGTGAAATTATTTTTAAAATTCCAGGGTAAAAATTCTTGGTTGTGAATTATCTATGTAGTAGAAGGGGGGATGGGGGAGGAAGACAGGGTGCTCCAGTCTACTGGTTTACTTCCCAAATGCCTGTAACAGCCAGGCCTGGGGGAGCTCAAGCCAGGGGCCAGGAACTCATCTAGGTCGCCCATGTGGGTGGCACACGGATAGGGGATGCCAGCATTGCAGATGGCAGCTTAACACACTGGCACGACCCTGCTTCCTCTTTTTAACTTAAAAATTTATTTATTTATGTGAAAGAGAGAGAATACATACAGAAACACAGACAGATACTAGAGAGAGAGAGAATGAACAAGCAAAACAGAATGAGAGAATCTGCTGGTTCATTTCATAAATGTCTGCAATAGCAGGGGCTGGACTCAATTTGGTCTCCCATGCAGGTGGCAGGGACCCAAGTACTTGAACTGATGCACACCTGTGCTTCCCAGGGTGTGCATTAGTAAGAGGTGGATGGGAAGTACAGATAAGGGACCTGAACCCAGGAATGTGGGTGTCCCAGGCTTCATCTTAATTATTGCGCCAAATGCTTGTCCCATCATAACTCTATCATGCAGACGTGGACAACACCAGAGAGACGAGCCTCTGAGGTTTTAGTGCCAACAAAGTGTTAGACTGAGTGTTGAAAAATGACATAGAAACATTAAAAAATATTTTCCTCTGATTGTAGCCATGGCATATGCTCATTAAAGAAGTTTCTGAAAGTAAAAACAAAAATCTAGTAAAAGAATATGCAGATGCCCTAATAGCTAAGAGATAACCACCATTTTAAAAAGGATTTTATTCATTTATTTGAAAGACAGCATGACAAAAGGAGTAGACAGAGAGAGAGAGAGAGAGAGAGAGAGAGAGAGAGAGAGAGAGAGAGAGATTCAGCCACAGCGAGAGCTGGGCTAGGCCAAAACCAAGAATCCAGAGCTACAGTTGAACCTCCCACGTGGAAGGCAGGGAATGAAGCCCTTGAACAATCATCTGCCTCCTTGTGGCTAAACCGCTGTACCACAACGCTGACTCCTCATTATTTTAGTATTTTTTTTTTCAGGCATTTTTTTTCTGTAAAATCTGCCTCTCATATAAAATAATAGTTGAAAACATCCTGCAGCCACAAACATTTCCTTCCTTGAATATAAATTATTTCTGTCATCTCCTCAATGAACACAGTGAGTATTTAAACAGAGTACTCTGTGCAGAGGGTTAACACTAACAAATAGTGCAAAAGGATACACAGAGGTGACTCCTCATTTCATTGATTGGAGAGACAGAGTGACAGGTGCCTGCTGTGTCCCAGAGGTGGGAGGAGCTTAGTCCAGGTCTCCTACATGGGTAGCCAAAAGCCTGTTACTTGAACTGTCACAGCTGCCTTGATGGGAATCAGATGTCCAGAGCTGGAGCTGGGCTCAGGAATCAAATGGAGGCATTCTGGCCCACTCTCTTCACATTTCTGATTCTTAGGCCCCAGGGTCTGCTTCCTCAAGGCAGGTAGAGGTAGAACTGG